TGAGAATAAAGGGACTGATGGAGAGCATTGTGCTACAGGTAGATCTGTACCTGTGTAGATGAACGTGGCAACAGGCCACAGGAAGGTTTTGGTTTAGGGAAGTCATAACATGGACAATACTCATATATCCAACCTACATTCATATGGGGAGAAGTTTTATTTTATTATGTACTTAATGGAGTCTGTTTGTTTGACTGATTTTTTTTTTTTTTAAGACAAAATCTGGCTACATAGACCAGGCTGGCATTGAACTTGCTCTTCCTCTAGGTCTTCCCTTACACACCCCCAGCCGTGCTAACTTTTGAATACTGGCCAACTGGTTTTTGTACTTGACCTTTATGATTTATATAGACTTTTCTAGCATTCTGTGTACTGTGCATGTGTGACTGTCTTTCTGTGTAGTGTGTGTGTGTGTGTGTGTGTGTGTGTGTGTGTGTGTGTGTGATATAGTGGGGAAAAAATCAGTCTCAGTTCCTCCTATACACTTACTTAAGAATAACCAACAGATAAAACTTATGAGACTTCAAAAGATGTGTGGATTTCTCCCACCAGCCAGCACCCACCCGGTTCAGAGTGGACGATACCTGGGCATCCTCTACTCTAAGCCAGTTCGGACGCTCTCTGGAGTCTGGATTCTAGAACGTGTGTGACCCCCACCTCACCCCTCAATAGGAACAGATTCTGGTGCTGGTAAGGACTTACAGTTTAGCTCAGAATGCAAGTGCAGAGGAGGGCTTTGTGAGTGATCAGTCCCTTGTCTTGGAGTTCAGTTTCCCAACTTCGGGCACCGATTTTTGTTCAGGGCACAGCAGACCTGAGAATGAGCTGATGGATACTTCCTGCACAATGAAACTAAGAGCGACGACGTTTTTCCTGCCCAGACTTCACTTTGACGAGGATGGTGGAAGCAAACCACCGTGCCCAACTTCAGCTGTATTTTACAGTCTCTTGCACACCTTCCTTTAATCCAGTTTTATCAGATTTCTATAGTCTCCAGGGTAAGAAAATCTTACTGTCATCCTTTTCCATATATCCTTGAAATCCGTGCCCATGTTTGGGATGTTCTTGCTGCCTCAAACACAAATGCATTTGCCTGAGAGAATGAAGCATTGTTCTCCTGGATTAGACAATGATGCTAAACTGAGGAAGGCTACAAAAGCCTTCAGGTATCCTGAGCGCAACTCAATTTTCAAAGCGGGGGGGGGGGGGGGGGGCGAGCTCTTGAAAACAATATTCCTGGGAAAATGACATCCGCTTCCTTCCTCCTCAGACCCTCCCAAATAATAGGGTATGATGAGGCATCGATTGAGAAGTCTGAGTTCTCTTGAGAAAAGAATTTTTAAAAGTTCCAAACTACATGAATTGAAAGTTGCACAGAAAAATTCTTGGAAATCATCATGCTATCTAAAAATAATTGCTAAAGGTAGCCACACATTAGCCATTGAGCCTGGAGCCATTACATGCTTTTAAAGTTTTTCTAAAATTACCCCCACCAAAATAATAATAACAACAACAACAACAACAACAACACCTGGAAAGCAAGGCCCCTGAGTGAAAACTGGGGGTAGGGGTCATCTTGTTTGTCTCTTCTTTGTGTCGTCTGTCTGTTTTGCTGTGCTGGGGGATGGACCCAGAGCTACCTCTGGGGTACACTAGTGACATGCTGCAGAGCCACAGCCTGAGTGGAAACCCTTAAATGGTGCCAGTGTGAGCCCAGATGTTCTTTCCAGTGGGGATTTATTTTTATGAAGTTCTCTGGAACACTGAGCCCTCTGGGGCCACTTACAACAGTGAGGAGTATATTTGAAAGGCTGATGAGGTTACTAAACTCAAAACCGGCATATTCATTTATTTAGGGTGGTACAGCAGTATAGGAAAGAATAACAAAAAGATTCTCTCTCTCTCTCTCTCTCTCTCTCTCTCTCTCTCTCTCTTTCTCTCCCAAATCATATATCTGCCTTACAAGTGGTTCTAATTGGGGTGTTATGTGAGTTAACAAGATTCTCCCTTGGGGTATGAATACCCTCTAGGACGGTTTGGTCTACGCAAACCGTGTCTAAGTGGGGCATGGTTCTAATGCAACATTGAGCTCAGAACCATCTAGATTCTTGCTAAGCATTTAGAAGGAGAAAAGAAAATGCCCAACTGATTGGCCTTTCGACATTTACTTCCATTTTGTGCTCACTAATCTCCTTTGGAAAGCTTATTCATAGTCTAGCATCTGAAACCTATTTTGTGCTTACACAGAGTGTAAGACATTCAGTTACTACTGAGGCAACCGGCCTCACTTGGGATTTTCATGAGGGTTCTCATGTCAGGGTCCTACCTTCTCTTTTAGAGCCCACGTTTCTGCCCAGATATTTTACCTGTTGTTTCTCACATCTCCAGATGAAGGCAGAGGTTCACTTAAATATAGTCATTGATAAATTATTTGAAACTGATTTATATTAAAAAGAAAAGAGAATATGAATGAATGTAATTAGTATAGACATTGAGAGAAAAGTCACAGTGGTGACATGAAAAAAAACAAAATCGTCCATCCTTTACCATTTAAAAATATGCTTGAAGTCTAATTTGCTCTCTGGGATGCCAAATATGTTGGAAGGAGCTGTTTGGATCCTGACACAGGATCTTTGGGAACAAAGGAGACTTTGGCGAGACACAGTGTACCACAGGATTGATGTTAAGTGGGAGCAGGGACCAGACCCATAACCTCTTTGTTTAAGGGCAGATTTTGAGGTAACATGACCACGCAGGTAAGACTGAGGCAATGAGGCTTCCTGTAGGGTTAGCGTGGGAAGCAAGTGGCCGGGAATGAAAAATCATAGCTGACTTAGTACTCAGATCATCCATCTTTATTTGTTTCATTAACATTTATAGTTTCTCAAGGAGCCACATTTTAAAAAAACGTTTCTTTTTGTAAATAAACTATTATAAGGGGAGAACAAATAAAAATAATTTTAAGAAACTTGTCCGAGAATATATCTCAAATCTTTATCAGTAGAATTGTCATTCAAGAAGTAAAACAAGTATCTATTTTAAACTGGTAGCTAAGTAGTGCTTCGTAAAATCAGTCTATTTAGTCAAGCAGAAAAATGCAGTATTCTATAATGGCATTTTAAAACTGGTAAATATTTTAAAATCAAAGCTAAACTTACTTAAGGTTATAATTAGATACCTCAAATTTAAGTCAGGTGTTTTTTTTTTTTTTTAATTAGAATATCTGCATCATTTTAGTATCTGGTGACCTCAGCTGAAATATTTCACCATTACAACACACGCTGAAACGAGTCACATGACACCGCTCTCCACCATGCTTGGCCCCCTTATATTTTCAAAAGCCATTCCCCACGTCAGTAATGCAACCAAGGAATTGTATTTGTCTCAAAACAAAGCGCAACACAACTGGAGAATCTTCTTGTAACGCTTGAGTAAAGCATTGCTTTCTGACACTACTCACATGTTTCTGTGATGACATTTACATGGGGAAAAATAAGATTGGGGGAATTCATCTTCATTGAATCAAGGCTTTTAAAATAATGTTGCAGTATTTGCTTGGTAGGGCCACTGCCTTCCATTCCCAGTTCTTTGACGCAAGCTAGGGGCTTCTGGGAAGAGGGGACCGTAGTTGAGAGATTGCCTGTGGGCATGCTTGTATAGCATTTTCTTGATCAGTGATTGATATGAGAAGGCCCTGCCCACTGTGGGTGGGGCCACCCTTGGACAGGTGATCCTGGGTTACACAGGAAAGCAGACTGAGAAAGCCAGTGAGCATGGATTCGTCCATAGTCTTTGCTTTGGGCTTCAGGTGTGTGCCTTGAGTTCCTGCCCTGGCTTCCTTCGATGAAGGTCTGTGATCTGTAAGATAAAATCAAGCCTTTCCTCTCCCCAGGTTGCTTTTGGTCATGGTGTTTATCACAGCAATAGACAGTAGATTGGACAAGGGACATAGGAAAGGCCTGATGAAAGAAGTGTGCACACACAGTCCTTTCCTTTGGTCTGGGTAGAAAGAGACCTTCGCTCTGTTTTTACTCTTACAGCCTGAGTATAATAAATCTTTAAATGCTAAGGCAATGTTGATCCACCCATTTTTGTATTCACGGAGTTCCCAGCCTACGGTGAGCTGAGAAACGCTTGCCACATCCATTGAATGAATTGCCACAAAGTGAATGAATGCAGGAATACAACTTCTAGATTGTGGCTATTCATTCTGAAAATGAAGTAAAAGTTCTCTGAGTTTAGCCCGTCATGGTGACCCAGTGTGAATGGTTATTTTCCCCCCACCCGACTGGGCTTGTGGCGGCAGAAGCCTCTCTGCAGCATGTCATTGGATGGTCCCCAGCCTCAGCCAATAGATAAGACATGTCATCAGCTTAACCCAGTAGCTTTCAAAAATAGCATAGTTAAAGTGGACGTGTAGGTGTGTGCTAGAAAGAAACCATTTGCCTGTGGCCTTAAGAATAGGCTGGTAGCTGATGTTCCTACCTGGGAGATCTAAAACGTTGCCTAAGACCCGTTGTGAGCAAGCAAGGGGGTAATCAGAAGTCCCCTTGTCAATGCAACATAGCGTCTTACTTTCTACGGATCCGGTAAACCCTTCTGAAAACCTCAGGGGTGGAGCAAGGTGCTGTGTTCCTTTAAGATCCAGTCAAATCTCTCTTTCTGTGTGTGTGTGTGTGTGTGTGTGTGTGTGTGTGTGTGTGTGTGTGTGTGTGTGTGTTTTCAATAGCGCTTTCAGTTTCCCTCAAAATTTCAATGAATATTTGCACAATGAGCCAAGTTGTTGTGGGTTTCCTGGTTTGTGTTGGTTTTCCCCCCCAGGGTGGGGGTGGTGATTCGGGCAAGGCATTTTCATCCCTTTGCAGACAAGTCCAGCTGCTGGTAATGCTGAAAATAGCTCAAATGCTCTCAGGCCAGGAGCACCACCCAGCAGCTGAAGTTCCTTGCCTCTCTCATTTGCCTTCTCTCCTAACCCCCAGTCCCCCTTTTCCTCCCTGCAGACGCTTGGAGTGGACTTAATCTTAAACCTCTGGAGGTCAAGACCTTTTAAAAAGGGCTACATAAACAATCTCTACACGGAAAAGGCCCCTGACTTGCGCTTCCTCTGTTGGAGCAACTGTGAAGTTCAGCCTCTTCAAGGTAAGGTTTTTGCTCTGGAATGACTTCTTTTCTGGTGTGGTCATGACTGGTGTCTCTAATATACCTTTTTAGTGAACGTAGGAGGAAGGCAAGGGAGTCCCAGGTAGACCCTGTGTCCTGGGATGCAGCGGCAGCATCGTGAGGGGTTGTTTTTGTTTTTTTTTTTTGCAAGTGTAATTGTAAACTTTGCCTAAAGCCCTCTGTCCCGGGTGGCTGCTGCACAGACACTCCTCTTGCTGAGCACTGCCCCAGAGTCCTCATTACGAGTGACTGCCACAGAGGTGAGAGGACTTCTAGACACCATCATTTCCTTGTTTAGACTGCTTTCTTATTTTAACTTTCTAAAGGTATTCTTTAAGCAGGATGCAGCCCACCTGAGGAAAGACAGTGTATTAGCGACTGCCCTTGATAGACAGTGAGGTGGCTATATTATAGTGTGTTCCTGTCTTAAGCATTTTATTCACAGCTGGTGTGGAACGGAAAGTGGTTTGGGGGACTGGATTATTATCATCATCATCGTTATTGTTGTTGTTGGGTTTTAGTTGTCTAGTGCACTTTGGGGTGACTGATTTTGAGAACCCCTTCCCCAAGCTGAAATTTAGCTAAGCTACTCTCTTATGAGGTAGATTTTCTGACAGGTTTTTTGACAGTACACATTTTTTGGATAGTATTCTGGCTCCCCCTCCCGCCCCCCCCCACCATGCTTGTACTTGACATTTTGCGAAGTACTTTGATCTGTGTACTTTAACCTCAACCACACCATTTACTTTGATTGTGAGTATTTACTATGTTCAGTAAAAAGGCTTTTTCTCCCCGCTTAATGCTTTGATAGCAATTCCTTCAGATAATTTACTGGCTTAGCGTCTTCTGCCGCTATGACTGAGATTTTATTTCTAAAGGAACCTGCAATTTAAAGAAAAATGTCCTCCTGCAAAGCACTTTCATTACATTGACTGTCTAATACAGTGGTTCTCAATCTTCCTAATGCTGCGACCCTTTAATACAATGCCTTGTGTTGTGGGGACCCCAATCATAAAATTATTTTCGTTGCTACTTTATAACTAATTTTGCTACTGTTATGAAATGTAATGTAAACATCTGTGTTTCCCAATGGTCTTAGGCCACCCCTGTGAAAGGGTTGTTCAACACCCCCAGGGGTCGAGACCCACGGTCTGAGAACCACTGTTCTAACAATTCACAGCTCAGGATATCTAAAACCAAATATCAAAGACAGTTCACAGAACCAATTCTGTCAACTCCTACTGGAGTCTCTTGCTTCCCCCAAATTACCATGTGCCTTGAGACCTAATTGTTACTTTTGAAAACATGAGCATGGAAATCCTTGGCATTTCAAGATGCTTTTTACCAAAAGAGTTTTGGTTAAAAACAAAAACAGAAAAACATGTATTTCAATGGCATGGTGATCTTTTGAGTAACAAAAAGAATAAGGCAAAAGAAAAAGGCAGAAGAAAGAAAGAAAAGTAAAGTAAAGTAAAGTAAAATAAATTAAAAAAGAAAATCTTCAGTAGCCAAAAGTTTTAGTGAAACTTCTTTGATGTATGGGATGAAGAATTTAACAAAACAAAAATTGCTTCTTAAAATGGATGAAATCTTAACACTTTTACTAATCATTAATCACTTTAAAATATTGTCTTGACTTTCAAAACCTCATTGCATTTGCTTCCTGCTCTTTTCTTCTCCCAAAGCATTGGCTATTTTCAAATCTCCCTGTTAGCTACTGTTCTGGGTACCCTTGGTAATATGGTTCCTGTTCTGTTGGAGGCTAGGAGCCTAACCCAGTCAGGAAGAGACTGTGAAGTCTCAGACTGTGACTCTACAGGGCTGACGCAGTCTGTTCTGTGACCCTTGTAAAGAGAAGAAGCCAATAGCCACCAGACAGGACTCAGAGGTGGCATAGGAAGGGAGCATGTTCCAGGAATGTTCCTCCTCAAGTAGAAGCTCATGGAGTTCTCCCCTCCAGCGTGTGGATTATAGTAGGAAAGCCTAGAAAAGGGTCAGCATCATTGCCTTGCTATTTGACTTATTGGAATCTACATAAAGAACAATAGTCTTATTTCCGTGAATGGTCAACTTGTGAGTCCCCCCGCTAGTCTGAGCGAGGGCTTCACTGCTTCCAAGGACCTCTGGGGATCAGGGATGGTCCCTTTTAGCCGGGGGAAGTCTGGGTGAGCAGTGCCAGGTACAGATGTGTTCCCAGAGCCAGCAGCAGGGCCGTTAGTGCAGATGCAAAATCAAAGACGTCAGGGATAAGGAAGTGTTCGAGATGGGAGACTGTGATCCCATCCTGATGAGCCATTCGGTGTCCTGTTGGCCCCTTCTTCCTCCTGCCCCTCTGTTTTATGTTACTTTGAAGCGTTGGGTTGTTCCAATGTGAAACTCAAGGAGAAACCTAGCCGAGGCCACTGAGTTCCACATAGGCTACATAGCGTTCTACCTGGACTTGCTCGAAACTCAGCCCGTGTTTGCCAAAAGTTTCAGGAGTGTCAGCAAGCCTTGATTGGAAACCTAATCCGAAGCCAGGTGACTCCTGGTGACTTAGAGACTTTGTTGTGTAAGTACAGAAGCTGCCACACAAGGGCACTTCTTATTTCCACGACTTCTACTGCAATTCCATGTGCAGACACAGTTCTTTCTATATATTCTGTGACATTTTAAGGACAAGCGGAAGTCTAATATGAACTTCTGTAACTGTGGTATTTAAGCGCTGGCAAATAGAAGCCTGAGTTTTAAATTCCAGCCCAGTTTGAATCACAGTGGTGTGAACATGCTGGTATAATTCAGCTAAAGGAAGGAAGTCCCAAGAGAGCTATGGAATGTCTTTCTTTGCTTAAATATACCTCTGTGCTTGGGAAGAACAAACAGTAACATTTTGTCCAGGTCTGTCCTCCTGACAGTACGCCTTTTGTTCACTTTCCAAAGGTGCTGTCAAATATAGTGGTGGAAAAATAATAAACTTCCCCCAGATATGTTTTCCCTGCCTGCTCAGTTGATACACTCCTAGGGAACATTTTGAGTATTGAAACGATTGCTACTGTTGCCCTGTAATGTAAACTGAGAATAAAGGGGTAGTCATGAAGCCAGCTTCTCAGAAAGGTGTGGCCGCCCAGAGCTGCTGTGTATGTGAACAGTCAAATGGGGCCTGGTTGTTAAAGTGTGTGTGTGTGTGTGTGTGTGTGTGTGTGTGTGTGTGTGTGTGTGTGTGTGTGTGTACATGTGTGTATGGAGGGAGGAGAGAGGAAAATGGGTTTTCAACTTTTGTGCAGCAAATTTGTGACCTTAGAAACAAAAGTGATCAAGCCCCAGATCTGAAAACATTCCTTTGTTGATCATATTAATTTTGTTGGCTGCATGTCAAAATATTTTTGGTATTATTTCCTCTCATTAAAAGCAACAAGCGTTAGGATTCCAGACATACTAAATAATCCCCAACAGAAATAGGACCACTTTTGGAGAGTCACATACTTGTATGGGTCAGTCTCAGAAAAATCATCGTGATTGAGGCCATCCTAAGATGCAAAGTCACCCAGAAAACTAAGATTCAACTTGACATTTTCTTAATTGAACAGTGTGTGATGCCATCTGAAGACATTTCAGAGAAGTGAATTGGTGACCTCAATAAAGATTTGATTAGACTAAACTTACTGACGTTTATGAATACAGACTCCTGATCAAATTAAATTCCAGAAGATTTCCTTTTGGAAACTTTAAAGTCAGTTTTAAATTCAACAAATCGTACTTTTATTAAGGATAAAGTTTATATCTTGCTGTATCACTGTTCTTTGATTTGACACTACAGGAAGCATAAAACATTATAAGATAACAACAGCAAAACCTGGGTTAATATATGTGTGTTTAGCCCTGGCTTTACTATTCTTGATATGAGATTTATGGGCATATAAGAATTTGCATAGTCTTGAATTAGCAAAATGAGAAGAAAGTGCTCAAATCCAGGTCCTAGAGGAAATAACATGAAACAATCCATAGTATCCTACAAAGAAGAATATTATTAAATGCACCCTGGCACAGGAATTTAATCTTTCAGGCAGGTCTGTCATCCATAATATTCATAAGAAAAGAGCAAAGATACCATACCAAAAATAAATGCCAAGCTTATGTATATGCACACGTTTCTCTAGATCATTAAACAGTGTTTTCACAAATGTCTTCAGCTGTCATTTAAGAATGCAAATATCTCTGAATTGAAAATCATTTTGTGCTTAATTTGCTACCAGAAATAAATGAGCCATTTCATACTTATATATTTCCTAAGGATATATTACAAAAGCCTAAATAACATAATAAAAAACATTTTTCTTAAGCAGAAAATAAAAAACAATAATGTGGTTCAGATCAGGTCAAGATCAGCGAGTCCCTCCCAATAGATCAAAGAGGATTATTTGCAAAGCACAGATAATGCACTCATCTTCAGAATAGTCATCAATTTAAACCAAATATGAATATTTGAAATAGGAAAAAATGCAGGGGCTAAGCATGTAACTCATCAATGATAGAGCATCTGCCAATTATGCATGTTTCCCTGAGTTGAGGTTGCTCTTCAGGACCATCGCAGGAGGAGGAAGGGAAAGAGGAGGAAATAAAAACCACTTTAATCATTATAATACGCACACCCCACAGTCATTCTAGAGTCTGCCCATCTCTTTGCCTTTTACACTGATGTGCACATTCCATTTTGAAATACAGGGATTACTGTAAGGGTACAAGAGGCCTTCTCATTGCCACTCTCATTCCTGGGCTTTCTCCTGAGGAATCATGGAATGAGGGATGGAAATGAACCTCTGAATCAGCCCTATACTCACTGGGAAGTGGTGGCCACCTGGTCTACCACCTAGGGTTACAGAGAGAAAGGACCAGACTGGAGGAGAAACTAGACTGCCCTCTCCCAGGAACTTGACAGAGAATTCTTCTGAGTCCCCAGGTCCCATTATATTTTTTTCTTTCTCCTAAGATCTTCTCTTATA